CAGACTCGGGTAGCCTACGTTGGATCCGGAAACACTGATGTCAACGACATCGCGAAGGCGACGCTGGAAACTGACGAGCTGGGAGTGTCTTGGAGAGTGGTTCTTGTCCTTGTGCCTCTGATGCTTGAAGTGGCTGTCTTTATTTTGCTCAGTTTACTGTCCGGGCTTCTGCAATCTCAATCCAATACCTGTTTCTCTTTTTAGTCTCATCATTCGTATCCCTATCGTCAAGCTCCCATCATCTTTCTAGCTTGATTCACACTTCTCCAAACACTACAAGAGAGACCATAGCTAAACGTGACTATGTCGGGCGGATTTGGACACCCGTCGTTTCGCGCACATGAACGGCTCCCGCTCCATCCATCGTTTTAGTCAGGCGTTACCCGCCCGTGGTTGATAAGCCGGCGTCGCGGATGCCCCACCACCGAATCAGCCTCCCCTCCAAGGCTCAGATCCCGCCTCCCCTGAGCTCCTAGCCATCGTCCATCCTGCGGACAAGACGTCGAACCTTGCACCTGAGGCCTATCTCATATCAGAAATCTCATATCAGAAAATACCAGTAGTCACTCGGCCGTCCCTTGAACCTTGCGCCAGTCCAGATCCTTCCCGGGCTGTGTTGGGAGCACGTCGCGCGCTTTTCTTTTCACTCGCCACGACGCCAAGCATTAGTCATCGCCCATCTCACATCTCTCTCAACATGGCAACTTCACGGCCTCTCATAGTCGGGCCCGACTCGGGCCCGGAACCGCCATACCCGCTGAAAATGGAGGGCAAGGTCATATCCGGCTTTGGCAGGGGATCCAAGGAGGTGAGTTGACGTGGTCAGGGGTTGGTCTCTCGACCAGTCCTCCTACCCACTCCTGTTAGGATACACCCATATGTCCAAGAGCCCAGCAAGAAGGACACAGCCATCCTAACAAAACCAAACAAAGCTCGGCATCCCCACGGCCAACCTCCCCGTGGACGAGGCAGTGACGCCCTGGATCGCCGACATCAAGTCCGGCGTCTACTTTGGCTGGGCCTCGCTCGACCTGCCCGCCTCCCACCCGCAGGCCTCCTCCTCCTCCTCCTCTTCCTCTTCCCCCCACTCGGGCGGCGGATCCTTTTCCGTCTTCCCCATGGTCATGTCCATCGGCTACAACCCCTTCTACAAGAACACGGTCCGGAGCGCAGAGGTGCACGTGCTGCACCGCTTCGACGCCGACTTTTACGGCGCCCGCATGCGCCTCCTGATCCTGGGCTTCATCCGCGACGAGCTCGACTACTCGACCCTCGATGCCCTCGTCCGGGACATCAACCTCGACTGCGACGTCGCTCGCAACAGCCTCGCCCGCGACGCCTGGGCCCCGGCCTCGGGCGGGAGGGAGAAGGGCTCGCTCGGGGGCGAGTGGCTCACCAGGGAGGCGGGGGCGGGCGCGGGGGAGGCTGCTTGAGCTAGTTCCGGTTAGGGAGGAGCGCTCGAGCAGGCTGTCTTTTCCCCCATGAGTGAACACCTTTTCTGACTCCTGAATTGCCTCCCTGTATCGTGTAGTTTCGTCACTTTGCCCGGTGTTATGTAAATATCAAATCAAACGTCATCAGACCGGCACTGAATTCTATCAGCCGAAAACAACACCCGGGTATAGTATAATTAGAATGTGGAATGACAAAAAAACGCGTGAAGCTAACTCGCTCCCAGCTCGGTCACAGCCCACATTTTGGCGTTGCCATAGCGCACCTGTATGGCGAATGGAAGGAGAGCATGACGAAAAGCAACAACATGCAAAATAAAGAATGCAAACGATGATATGCGGTGTCCAAGTGTGTGTTGCCACCATGTTTTGAAATGCAAAGACGCCGCCGATGCCATTGTCCCCTGAGCACAAAAAATCCAAAACATAACAACACGATCCTCCTCCTTGCAAACAAGGGGCGACGCGTTTGAAAAAACCTAGCCCTATGTACCCTTTGGCCTTTCTGGGTCAAACGGCAAGCTGATGGGGTTCTTGATTAGGGTAATAGCAAGGAAGGAACTGCCAAGTACACGCATCCAGTCAGAATCGTACTGTGAAGATAATTAGGGAAGAGAAAATTGCGAGGGCCAAAGTAACTCACATTCATAACGATCATCATGGGTATGTCGAAGGTATCCCGTCGAATGTGCCAGCAGTACGAACACTCCAGCTTACCGTCCTTGGCAATCTTGGATATGCCGTGCTCACCATCTATGCGAGCCACCCTATTGCTGAGAATGCTCTGCCGCGGCTCCTTTGAGGGACTGGGTTGTGGCTGCTGTTGCTGTTGTTGTTGCTGCGGCTCGGGCTTGGTCGTCACGTCGACCGAGGGGGCTTGGGTGCGGTACTTGAACAGCCGGGTCTTGCGGGTGACGCGGCCGCGGCTGTTCTCGAAGGCCAGCTGGGCAAAGTCTTCGTAGAACTGTATGACGCTGTCGTCGTCCATAAGTTCAGCGATGAACAGCGGCTGTGGCCCAGAGTCCGCCGGCTGTCCCTGGACAGCCGCCGCCGCCGTCTTGGCCGAGTCTGTACCCGCCGCCGCCGCCGACTGATGCGCATTCAGCGTCCTCAGTCGGGGCGTCGACAGGCCAGTCCGGCCAGAGCTGTTGTTGCCGCCAGCCGCCGGGTCCGGGTTGTTGGGGTTCCCTGTGTTCACGTTTAGATTGGGCTCTTTACCAAGGAGAACTTCCTTCCTCCAGCCCGTCAGGGCCGTAAACTCCTTGTTCACAGCCACCACCTCGCCCGTCCGCCGGCACAGCACCGTGGGGCTCGACGTCTGCTCCAGAAACTCCCCAAACTCAAACAGGGAGCGCTGAAACGACTTCTCCATAAAGATCAGGTCTGCCCGGCTCAGCGTCCTCGTACACGCGATGAAGGACGGCCGTATACTTGCCAGGGACTTCGCCACGCGCAAGATTTTGCTCGCCGACAGCCGCCTCTGTAGCAGCGCAATGAGTTTGTGGAAGCCACGAACGTACATGTATGGTTCCGTGACGTTCTCATAGATCCGCGATGAGTCCCTGTATCGCTTCCCCATGGCCGTCTGCGGCCCGAACCACGCCGCCACCGCCGCCGATGACGCCTTTGGCTTGGGCCGCGGGGGTTGCGTCGGGCCTACGGCGTGTGGCACCGAGTTCCCTCCAGTGTTCGCATAGGCGGCCGCTGTCGGAGAGCCGTCGAAGCCGACCGTCGTGGGCTGCGGGCTATTGTTCTCCGTGCTGGGACTCTGGAGGCTGCCGGGCCCGGCTGCGATGGCGTAGGCGTGCGGCAAGCCGTGCTGCAGGTTCCCCTGGGAGTAGGGCCCACCCGAAGACTGCTCCAATCCGAGGAAGTCGCCCATCACGTTGGCGTCGTAGATCTTGTCAAAGCCCACGCCGTTGTTGTTACTGCCGAAAATGGCAGGTCCGAACGTGATGTCGCCTGCTCCGGGCTGTGATATCGACGGGTCCCTGGGCGGGGTCTCAGCGGCTCCCGAGGACATGTGGCCGAGCATGCTGAACTCCATGGCACCGTACTGGCTCCCGAAATTCAACCCCTCGAGGTTGAAGTTGTATAATGCAGGGTTACTGGGGTCAAACAAGGCAGGTGAAAAGCTAGTGATGTCACCAGATACCTGTGGCACCGTCAGACTGCCCATCTGGGCAGCAGATGACTCCTGAAATGTCGGGGACACGGGACTCTGCTGGCTGGAGAATGAGATGCCGTCTGTGAGGGAGGACACCTGGGTCTGCTGCGTTGGAGAGAAAACGCCATATGTCGACGCGGCGCCGGGCTGGGAGAAGAAGGCCGTCGCGGTGGCGTTTGACGACGCCTCAGAAGCGACGCTCGACGGCTGGCGGTGTGGGTTCGGCCGCGATGTGTGTGAGTGCGCGCTGTAACTTGGCCCGAGGACCGGGCCAAGGGCCTCAGGGGGTGCATCATGAAGATACTTTGCCTTTTTCCTTACGCCGTCCTGGCACTGCTCGGCAAGGCCGCGCTTTATACACCTCTGGCATGGCCGCTCGTCGCCTTTACGCAGGAGGCGAAAACAGCGCGGGTTAGCGTTGGACCAGCGGGATAGACATCCGTCCCTGGAGTGGGTAGAGGGGTGGGGTGGACAGGGGCGTTGCGCAAAACTAACCACATGTCAAATGGGCACGTTGGCAGGCGTAGCAGGCTCTCCGCGCCTTTTTACGCCGTGGCCGCAGCGGGTCTTTGGGGTCGAGTTTCTTCTTGACCTCGCCAGTGCCCTCCTGGCCGGTATCAGGTGACGTGTTTTGGTGGTCGGTCATCTTGTCGTCGTCGTCTTTGACGTGGGCGTCGTGTTCGTCGTACTCAGACATTGCATCTGAGACCTCTCCCTCGTTGAGCTCCGTATCGTCTGCCATGGTGTCCGAGGCCGGAGGGTATTTATATATGTACGGGGGTACGTGGTATAAGTCTGAGCAGGTCTGCGGTCTATGGTTGGTCCAAGGGCAGGGCAGGTGCGGGTGCGCATGCGGTACTTTGCCGAGGTATCTGGCAGTGGGTGGCAGTGGGTGGCAGTGGGGGGTGGTGGCGGGAAGGGATAGCAGTCGACGGCTGTAGGTGGTAATGGTGGTGGGCGTGTTTCTTGCGGGCGGCCTAACTGCCTGCCTGGAGGCCCGAGGGGGCCGGCTGGGAGGGGGGGAGGTATGTGGTTTGCGAAACCGCACCTCTTCGCGCCTAGGCGGGCCGGTCTGGGAAATCTCCAGGTCGCAAGAGGCGTGTAGGCGGCAGCCGCACAGGAAAGGGAGACGCAGGCCGCTGGGATGCTGCAGCCAATGTCACAGCACGCTAGCGCAGCACAGCGCCGGGAAAATAATGGCAGTGATTTGCGGACGCAGGAGGAAATCGCCTGTGGCTCTATCCCTGGACAAGATGCGGTGTCGCCAGACCATGACTGCTCCCAAATTAAAACAAGAAGCAAAGCAAAGAAGAGTGGCGGCGGGCCAACAGGAGCCGCCCCAGCTCGCCGATTATTGGCGGTGGGTCCGGCGCGCGGCAGCGCACCCACACGCACAGCTCGGCCTGGAGCTCAGGAGGGCAGGCCGGTCAGACTGTGCTGGGCTGGGCAATGTGGTCTCGAGCGCCAGTTGCTCAGTGATAGCCAACGGATAAGCACACCGGTACACAGATGTGGAAGGGGATCCCCCCCTCGTATCGCGCCGTCGAAGCGAAAAGCGCAGTTAGGGAGCCGGTACACGCTCCAATAGGCTCGCAGCCGGGGCCCAGGAGGCGTCCTTGTGCGACGTCCTCAGCACGCCGAGGAAATCAATAGTTGGGCTGTATCTGGACCGGGGCAGGCGTCGCAGGCCGGCGCCCATGGGGGCACACAGGACGGGCGGGTAGGGGTAGGCAAGGCCTCTCGGGCTGGGCGGGCGGCGGCGGCGGGCGGTCGATGACGAGGTTCCTTTTCCTGGATCTCTGGCGGCGGGAGGGTTGCTTGCGCCTTGGTTGTGGCCAGGGGTGCCTGATAAAGGGGGGGTCTGCGGCTGCAGCTACCCGTCGTCTATGCCTTTTCTGTATCTGGTAGCGATACGCAAGCACTCCCCTGGCGGTTCTGGTTGGCGTTTCGAACAGCGGTCGAGGTCGGAGACAGGAAAGGGAGGGCGAAGGAGATGGCGCAAGGGGTGGGGGGAGACCAAAGCAGCGTGGTCTGCAGGCAGGCCAAGGTCGCAAGCTGGATGCCGCTGGCCGTTTCGAGCGAAGGCTGCTTGCCGGTCAGCAGGAGGTGTACGCAGATGGACGGTCGGTGGATGGTGTTCGCGCAAGAGTGTTGCGACTGCGGTAACCGGGTAGAAGATGGTGCTGCGCGGTGTCTGATCCGGAGATGTTGATCCGAACTGTGTTTTTTTTTTCTTTCTTTTCTTTTTTTCTTAATCTCTCTAAGCCACCCACAACAAACCCCAAGCCTGCGGAAAAAATAATCTGCACGAGGGAAAAAAAATTGGTCCCTAATACTTTGGCGGCGCAAAAGAAAAGCTCGCGAGGTTCAGCTCGAATCAGGGAAGCGAAGCTGAAGGTCAGACCGCTGACTGGGCAGGCGTGACGAACAAAAAAAAAGATGAAAAAAAAAAAAAAAGAATGAGATCAGATCCCTGTGGGGCAGACAGCGGCAACAGTGCACTTGTGCGACCTCGTTGAGCTTCGCGACTGCCATCTGATTGCGGGGTCTCTGTCGTCGCTCGCAGCAGCAGCAGCGCCGTCGGTAATGCATTGGAGGCCGTGGTTGGTCGGTTCGTGGGTTCGATGCCACGGCAGGAGCCAGCCAGGCAGGTGCAACGCACGGGGGAACGGCAGCGGGGAAAGAGCGTTCGTCCTGCCTCCTGCGTCTTGGCGGCGGTGGCAGGCTGTGCAGCTCCCCTCTCTCCGCGCGCCCACGGCGCTGGCACCTGCTTGAGCCAGCCCGTGATTAGCCCGAGCCAGCGCGAACCCCCACCCCAAGTACAGGGTACATCCTGGAGCGCGCTGGGCGCAGGCGCTGGCAGGCTCGTCTTGGTCACGGACGGTGGCGTGGATGGGCTGGAAAGGTACTAGCGACTGACCGACGGTTGGACGGCTCCCTAGTCTGCCAACCGCTAGGACTGTCAATCGTCACATACAATTGACATTTGCATTGGCTGTCTCTCCAGTTACCTATCGGCAAAGGGCGGGGAGGGCCGCGAGAGCCTTCCTCGGCGACAGCAATCAGGGCAGGAACCGGTCAAGAATGTGTCAATGCTTACCACATCGATTATCAATATCTTGCAATGGATGGACCGTTAGCCGGCCCACTGAGCTCCTAGCCCAGCCTAGCCCGCAGCGCAGTTTGTCAAACACCACCATGGAGACCAGCGCAGGGCTTCCTCCCACTGGAGGAGACGGGCACTGGCATGGATATTGGTTCCCTCAACTCTGCCAGACCTCGCACCCATGCAGGCCCAAACACGAAATGCTGGCTGCCGCTTTTTTTTACTATTCTTTTTATTTTATTTTATTCCTTCCTGTCTATGGCTCTCTTTGCTTCCTGCCTCGTCGTGTTGCTGAGGAGGAGGGGGAGGGCCAAATATGGTCTTTGCCAGGGTTGCGGCAGGCAGGCTGGAGTGCGCCGAATGCCTGTGCTTTGCTCCACACCCTCAACCGTGGCTAAACTAAAGCTCACGATGCACCACGGCAGAAGCGGACAGCAGCAGTGGATGCAGCAGCAGCGCGTCATGCTGTGCTACTATGCGGGTTCGTTGTTCGAGAGCCTTGCAAGTCCACCTGTGAGGCTTGGTGGCCTGGTCTCGAGGGCATGGTGGAGGGTATCTATCATCAACCCGATACCTACCCAGGAAGGTAAATACCTCATGGATGGCACGAGGCTCGCCAAGGCTGGTGCTTGTCAAGAAGAAGGCGTACATTGCTGTCTTACTCAACCTGGTCGTCCATATCTCTGCGTGAGCTCGGTACTGTTAGCCCGAGCCGTGGAAGCGAGTATAAGCTAGTATACGATGTACATACCCTCGTCTTTCTTCTCCCGTATTCCTCGCCACCACCATCACCACTACCACCACCATCTCCCCATCTGCCTCCCCTCGGCCCCCTCTTTTCACTGTTTCATCCTTGGCACATGCAGGCGCCTTTCGGCTACCTGCTTCCTCGGACTGCTACTTGGCCTTCTCCTCCAACACGCTCGCTAGGCCGCGGTGGCCTCCGCCGACACGAGCCCGACGATGGCGGCAGAACCTTGAAGGTGTGTTGCATTCTAGACGCCCACGCAGCCACCCATCCGGAGGCGTGTGTGCCAACGGCACGCACCTCCATCTTCCTACCCCTCCATCCATCCATCCATCCGTCCATCCATCCATCCTCCCTTCCTTCCTCCCCCGACTGCCTCCCCCTTCCCCTCGGTCCTTGGTGCCAGATCTTGTCCCGTCTTTTCTGTCACATCTCACTTCATTCCATCTCTCTCGCCCCTGACCCAGCGATCTCTCACCTCGCAGATGGGATCAACAAGGTCAATATCTGCTCGATTGGGGAGTATTTGTGGCGGTTTGCCACTCCCCTTCTGAGCGGCTGCTCCCGTCGCCGTTGCTACCTTTTGGCGGAAAAGGGGCGCGAGGGCATGTACGCAGGTACCTGGCCGGGCGCCCGGCCGGCATGGCATTGCAAAGTATTGAGAAAGTAGAAGGGTTTGGAAGCGGAGGGACGGGCAGCGCTCTCCGAGGCCAGGGGGAGCTGGTTCGGGGGCAGGCACGGCATGGACAGATGGTTGGATGCTGCTTCTTGATGATCGTCTCTATTGCTTGCGTTGCTGCCCGTCTTCGGCCGAAGGCGCCAAACGGGACCGCCTTTCCAGCCCAAATATCAGAGAGGAGACGTCGGGATGGATGGGGGGGCCTGCCAACCGCTGCCATCTCTCTGCGCTAGCTTGTCCTCCCCCAACGCTGTTCCTCCGTCCGTTCCCAGTGGGCAGTGGGCGGTGGGCAGGTATGACTACCTCTGGCCCTCAGTAATGGCAAGGTCAAGAAAAGAGAGGCACGGCATAACGGTCACTGTTCCCATTTGTCCGCCCAGGGGGTCACAAGCTTGTGCAAATATAGGACACGTCCGCCTCCCCGGCCCAGGCTGGGTGGTCCGCTCAAAGCGCCCCCCAGCCGTCAACTTCGTGGTGAAGGACCTGCTCGCTCCGAAACTTCCGCTGTTTGGTGCCAGCCGCCACCCCGTCTCGCCATCGACCGTCGGGAGCCGGCATACGCACGGCCGCCCAGCTTGTGTGGCCGTGGATCAAGGATCAAGGGGGGAAAGGCAAGCGGGTCCGGACCACGCAGCCAGTAGGGCCTTCTTGAATGACCCTCTCTCTCTCTTTCTTTTGACTTCCTGGTCCTGGGAACTGGAGAGGCTTGACTGGGCGACCCTGCTTTCAATCGCCCTTTGCCTCACTCCCACGTCGATCGTCATCATCGATCGCTGCAGCCAGCCATCTCGGCCACTTACACCGCCCAGTATTGCTCCATTGATTGCGCGAGCGTCTCTTGGCTGGCTGCCCGGCCGGCTCCCCCACGCCCCCACGAGATGCAAACACACGCCCCTCCATCCTCCATGCCGGACTGCCAGATTGATCAGTGACTGGGGCGCCAGATCCATCCAAGAGGCGACGTCCGACCTTGCCGGCCGCGTTCTCTTACCTACCATGCACGTGCGCTCGTGGATCCGCGCTCGTCGGATGGCGGGCATCGCTTCGAGTGGTGTTGGTGGACAGACCACGAATGTAGGAGCAAGTCCCTAAATTTGTCCCTGCTATATATCTCAGCTTGGCTGTGGGGATATCGGCGGGCAGACAGCTTAACAGCACTCGAGGTGATGGCCCCCAATACCAAGGCTTTTCGTTGCGTCCACACTCGTTGGCCTGTACCGCGTGACTTTGAGGCCTCACTGGGCAGCGTATCGGCTCCTGGCGCGGATCTTCTTCCCGTAGTAGAAGAATATGAAGGGGAACGGCATCATGGCAACAGTCAGGAACGCCAGAACCGACGTCGCCCATTGGTAGCCCAGGGCATTATACATCTGAACCCCAAAGAGCGGAAAAGCGGCTGATGAGACGGGGGAGGCATGGCGAGGTTAGCATGGGGCCGGCTGAAGGTACAGAGTGGCAAACAAATCAATCAAACAAGGATGTGGTGAGAGTACAGCCAGGCCAGCCAGCCACTGCTTCGTGATGATCCGCATCCATCTCAACCACCCTTGTTTATTGGAGCCAGATCACGACCGGTGAGGGAGAGGGAAGGGCCAGACCAGGGTCGAGACTCACCAGCAAGGGCACACCTGACGAACACGTTTGCCGCGATGGCGCTGGCAGAGTATGTTGGGTATGCGTCGACCTATTTAGAGCAAAATATTCCTGTTAGACCGGCAAGGCAAAAAAAAGAAGAAGCTCGGATTCGGACCAATCCGGGCCCAGAGCCCGTGAGCGTTCCACAGCAGGCAAAAAAAAAAAAAAGGCCGCGCGCGTCGTGTCACTAACTTACCAGGTAGGTAAATATCCCCTTGAAGGCCAGCATGTAGCTGCAGAAAACAAGGTTGGAACGCTTCGGTTAGCCGCATCGACTCTATCATGTGCGCTGGCTGCGAAATGCAAGATCGTCATGGCCGTAACAGGGAAGCCGGAGATGGCCAAAAGGTGCGTTTCCACGCACACGCCCCCTTTTTTCTTTCGCATTTGGTGACACGCGGAGCTGTCCGACCACCACAGTGGGTGTGACCGGGCCGCCAGGCACGAGAACGACCCCCCGTGTTCGGAGATAAGACGACAGGTTCTTGGGGTAAGGAGAAGGAGAGTGGGCAAGGGACAAGAAAGGGTAGGGGAGAGGGACAAGAAAGGGGAAGTGAGAAAAAAGAGAGGATGGTTTTGGTGCGACATACCCTATACCAAACACGGCAGAGCCAATGAGCGGCACGATCCAGTGCACCCACGGGAAGGTGGTCCAGCCGAACATGAAGAGCCCGACGGGCGTCAGGACGCCGCCGGCCATGACGCACGGCAGGTGGAACTCTGGCTCGCTGGCGCCCTCGACGCCCGTCTCGCGCTCGAGCGCGGCGACAAGGCGGGCGCGGGCGCGCTGCCAGTAAGGGTCCGTAAAGACGCCGGCCACCATGCCCACGAGCAGGCCGAGGAAGGTCATGCCCGTCTGCCAGAGCGCGAAGCCGTGGTTGCGCGAGAAGACGAGCGGGAAGGCGCCGAAGAAGAGGTAGAGGATTCCCAGCAGGATGGCCGAGTACAGGTCCAGCGCCACGCAGATGGGCTCCGACGCCAGCATCTGGAACGGCCGCAGCAGCGAGCGCGCCACGGAGCCGGCGACCGAAGAGGACTGCCCGGCCCGCCGCCGCTCCATGGGCGCCACCCAGCGGCCGTCGCCCGTCTCGGCGCGCAGGGCGCGGGCGCGGTCGCGCAGCAGGACCGGGTGGTAGGTCTCGGGCACCAAGAGGGCGACGGCGGCGAGGAGGACGAGGCTCCAGGCCACGAGGACCCAGTGGGTCCAACGCCAGTCGACGTAGGTGTTGATGAAGCCGCCCATCAGGGGGCCGATGCAGGGGCCGATGAAGGGCGCGAGCGTGAAGACGGCCATGGGGAGCGACATGTCCTGCTTGGAGAAGAGGTCGCTGACGGTGCCGCCCGAGACGGACAGGAAGGCGCTGCCGGTGAAGCCCTGGAAGAAGCGGGCCACGATCATGGTCTCGATGTTGTGCGCCACGGCCGACGGCACGATCCAGACGGCGAAGAGCAGGAACGAGGCCAGGTAGACGGGCCGCCGGCCGTAGAACTCGCTCAGCGGCGACCAGGCCGGCCCCATGGCGATGCCGAGCACGAAGGTGCTGAGCCCGATGGTTGCGACCAGGTTGGAGCAGCCGAACTCGGCCGTCATGGGGCCGTAGCTGGACGTGTAGATGGAGCTTGCGCAGGTGCTGTGCAGGCAGCATACACATGTGAGCCTGGAGCCCTCAGCAAGGCTGCAGGGGTGAGGGGAGAGATCAGT